AATTTGTTCAGCTGATTGAAGACAACCTTTTCAATGATCTTGCCTATGAAAGGAAGATTTGAGATCGGTCTATAATTGCTCAAGATGGTCTTATCCAGATTGCTCTTTTTCAGTAGGGGCTTGACAACTGCAGTTTTCAGGGAGTTCGGAAAACTCCCAGAGTGAAGTGAGGAATTTACCACTTCTAGGAGATCTGCTTCTAAACAGTTTAACACACTTTTGAAAAAAGATGTGGGAAGTGTGTCAAGGGCGCAGTTTGATGTTTTAAGGTGATGTACGGTTTCTACCAAAACTGTGCCATCAATTTCTTCGAAATCAGACATAGTAACTACTTTCTCAGGTTGTGGTCTGATCTGTCTGACTCTAGAGCAACTCAAGGATGTGCTGATCACCTTTCTGATATTATTGATTTTTTCAGAGAAGAAAGAAGCAAACTCGCTGCATTTCCTTTCTAAGAGCATTTCTATGGGAATCTGGCTTGGGGGGTTTGTCAGTCTCTCTACAGTAGCAAAAAGAGTGCGTGTGTTGTTTATATTGCTGTTTATAATATTTGAGAAGAAAGTCCGTCTAGCTTTGCCTAGTTCCCTATTGAAAGCGTGGATGCTGTCTTTGTAGATGTTATAATGGACTACAAGTTTTGTCTTCCGCCACATGAGTTCTGCTCTTCTGCATTGTCTTTTCATATTTTGCACAGCTGTTGAGTTTCTCCAAGGTGCTTTTTGTCTACCATTATTCTTCCTGACTTTCACAGGAGCAATATCATCAATTACACTCTTAACTTTTGAGTTAAAAGAATCAAGGAGAAAATCAACAGAGTCGGCAGATATGCTTGGTTTTAAAGATATAGCCTTCATAAATAGCACACCAGTGTTTTCATTTAAGCTTCTCTTCTTGACAGACACAGCTCTAGCTTCAATGGCAGGAGAGATCAATATATCAAAGAAAATACAGAAATGGTCAGACAATGCTACATGCTTAATAACAATCGATGAGATGTTTAAACCTGTACTGATAAGTAAATCTAGAGTGTGTCCACGATTGTGTGTGGGACCATGTACATGCTGTGTCAGATCAAAAGTTTTTAAAACAGTTTTGATTTCTTTTGCCATATTGTTTTCTGCATTATCTATGTGAATGTTAAAATCTCCAGCAATGGCAAAACAGTCAAACTCAGAGGCAATTGTTGATAACAGTTCTGTAAAGTCCTCAGCAAAGGCTAGAGAGTATTTTGGAGGCCCGTAAACAATGATAAGTAAAATATGTGGAGCACCTTTTAACACAATACCCAGATATTCGAAAGAGGGGTAATTCCCAAATGATATTTGCTTACATTGATAAACTTCTTTAAAAAGAACACCTAAGCCCCCGCCTCTCTTACCCGCTCTGCAGACACTCATATAAGTAAAATTTGGAGGGGATGTTTCGTTTAGTACCGTTGCACTACAGCTGTCTTCTAGCCAAGTTTCAGTTAGAAACATGAAGTCCAGGTTGTATGTGGTTATTAAGTCATTGACTAGAAGTGATTTATTTTTAATGGAGCGGATGTTTAAAAGTGCTAACTTTATAGTCTTACTTTTTGTCCCCACAGCAGTCTTAGTTTGGCATGTAATAGGCACCAGATTAGATGGGTTTACTGTACGGCTGTTGAAGGCTTTAGATTTTCTATGAAGGCCTTAGATTTTTTAAAAAGTGCAAAGGTATTGCAGGATGGAGCAATGTTGATGACATGTGTCAATGAGGAGCAAAAGGGGAAAATAATGAGAGTTAAGAAGATGTGTAAACAAGAGGTAGTGAGTTGCAAGCCAGTAGGTGAAAAGACGTTGGTAAGTGAGTAATTTCTGGAGTTCCGTTAGAGGCATCAGTGGAAGAATTAAAGAAAAATATTGAGGGAGGGAAAGTAGGCGAAGCCAAATGATTGAAGACAAACAAAGATGGAAGAGTGGATAGTTTATCAGTGATGTTACAGTTTGAAGAGGAAAGGTTACCTGAGAGGGTAAAAATTGGATATATAAGTTATCCAGTAAGAGCGTATGTGAGGGCGCCACTGAGATGCTATAACTGCCAAAGATATGGACATATTGCAAAAGTGTGCAAGGCAAAAAAGAGATGTGCAAGATGTGGAGGTGAACATGACTATGGGAGATGTGATGAAGGTGCGGAGGTAAAGTGCTGCAACTGTGGGGGTGCACATAATGTTGCATATGGGGGCTGTTCAGCAAGGAAGAAAGCAATAGAAGTTCAAAATGAGAAGAATAAAAATAATATTACATATGCTGAAGCAGTGAAAATAGTGGAACGAAAGAACAAGGAGAAGCTAGAAAATACAAATCAGAGGGCAGAATGTATAAGATGAGAGATCAAATAAGGGTGGAAGAAGGAAAGATCATGGAAGATGGATTAGTGGTAAGCAAGAAGAATTTTGTGTTGTTTATCGCAGAAGTGATTAATTGTACAGCTCAAACGGATAAAAGAACAGAGAAGATTCAAATAATTGTAAAGGCAGCAGAAAGATTTCTAGGTGTAAAAGAACTCACATGGGAGAAGGTTAGAGATGGTCTAACTTTGGAGTCTCAGCAAAGTCAAGAAACATGGGTTGCTCAACAATATGGATGATATTAATATTGCAGTGAAATGCAAGGAGCCTGTTGGCAAATGGCTTGGAGTTTAAAGGATATGTTAACCAAATGAAAGAGAAACCGGATGTGATTTGTATACAAGAATCTTGGCTTAAACCTGGACTTGATTTTGTACTGAAAGGATATTCTGCAGTGAGAAGGGATAGAGAAGAAGGTAATGGAGGAGGATGTGTGACTTTTATTGGGAAAGGTGTTCAATACAGGAAAGTAGCGATAGGGAAAACAAGTGAATATGTCGTAGTTGAAGTATGTGATCAAGGGAAGAAGTATGTTATAATAAATGTGTATGATCCATGCAAGAGATTAGAAATGAATGAATTGGAAAAAATTGAAGGACAAGATGATGAAAGAGTTATCTGGTTATCTGGTTACCAGAATAAATGTATCTTTGGGGTTAGAATCTGCATTAGATTTAACATTGGTATCTGGAGTGTTAGGAGGAATAACGGAATGGGAGATTTTGAAGAATTGCACTATGGGTAGTGATCATTACCCGATAATAATTACGGTTATCGGGAGTGGAAGAAGAGAAGAGAAAAGGAAGGGAGATACAGGGAGATGGATATATCAAAAGGCTAACTGGGCAGAATTTATTTGAGAAAGTGAGGAGGAATTGAGTATGGTGAATAGAACAGAAGGACATAGCATTGATGCATTAAATAATAGGATAATTGCAATAATTAAAGGGGCGGCAGAGAAATGTATTCCAAAGGGTAAAGGAATTAGGAAATCTAAAATAGTTCCTTGGTGGAATGAAGAATGTAATGAAGCTATAAGAAATAAAAGGAAAGCATTTAGGAAATTGAAGAGAACACATAATTTTCAAAATTTAGTAAAGTATAAAGTGACTCAAGTATTATTAAGGAGAGTGGTAAGAAAGACAAAAAGAGAGTATTGGAGATCATTTTGTAATGAATTAGCAGTAACAGATGAAGAGAAGGCAAAAATGTTTCGAGATGAGTTTATTAAGGTTAACTCTTCTAGAAACTTGTGTGAAGAGAGAAAGAAAATTAGAGAATAGATGTTAAAAAGAAATCCGACAGTGAAAAACAGAAGGGAAGTTTTGAACAGTATATTAGATGTTCCATTTGAAATTATTCAAAGAATTAAAGAGAGCATTAAAAAGAGTGAAATAATCTGCAACTGGGCAAGATGGAGTAAGCTATAGTATGATCAAAAATTTAAGTGAAAAAGCATTGGGAGTAATATTGGAGTTGCTAAACAGGATATGGGTGGAAGGAGTGCTACCTAAGAACTGGAAAGAGGCAATAGTTATTCCCATAAGGAAACCTGAGGGCTGTTTCACAAAAGCAGAATTTAGAAATCCAGGATAAGAGATAAAGCTGGGGTTGACCTAGTGTGATCAGTGCATCCTGGCTTTATCAGTTTCACAAAGTGGGTGTCAACAGCTTTCTTCAAGAGACCACACAGTCCATCACAGATTAATTGATGCTACAATGGATAAGTTGTGTGCGCCATACTTCACACCAAATAAGCAACATCTTTTAATGGAGACTTATGGAGGAATTGAAGCACATCATACTCAGAAATGGAAACACTGCCGCTATTATAAAGGAGCGAGAAAGGGCATGGCAAACAATAGCGGATCGACTGAATGCGCCACTGAAAACGTCATTGTAGACTTGGAATTAAAGCCTCTTGTGTTTCCCCGTTATTATTCAATTTACGGGACTGGACATCAGTTATCTTGCCAAGAAAGTTTTATTATATATATATATATATATATATATATATATATATATATATATGTCAGGAGAGAAACTTCAAAATGTTGTATTCATGCCAGGTCTATATGTTTCTCCTCCTCTCACCCGGTCATGCCTACATGTTTCTATGAGAGCAGTAAAGTCACATTGAGATTTATACACCACAGAGAGCCTTACAGCTTCCTTGTAAGGTAACAAACATGTCGCTCTGAGCTTCTTAAAATTAGAACGTATATGTCATACGGACGCGACTATCCTTGTTGTTTACATCTGTGACATCAGTGGAAACATTTACGCTGAGTAAACATGTTACATTGCACACATCCTTTAGCAAAATATAGCTTCCCCCTGTCTGACATATGATCATTCCATGGATCCATGCTATCTATAGCTCCTTCATGCACTCAAAAAAATGATTATTGCCACTAATTGAGTTTAAGCAAATAATTTAAATAAAATATATTTAAAAATGTATAAAATAACCATTACTGTTTCAAATTACTTTTACACAACATGAATGTAATGGATTCAAGTCCAAATTGATCAAATTACATACACAATACTTGATTTACTGCCGTAAGGGACAAATGCAGATGTTGCGCATGCGCACAGTGTTAAAAAAAAAAAAAAAAAAAAAAAAAAACTGAACTGAAGGCGCCAAGCAGCAAGTCGAGCTCAGCGTCTGCGATTTGCCTGAACAGATGTGGAACATTCGACGACAAGGTAAGATATTTTCTATATTTATAAATGATTAAGACTTCGACATCAACTATTTTTATAATTTAATTGATATGATTTGTAATAAATATCTTATTTTCGCCGTGACTGCACTTTTTGAGGAATGAACTTTTTCGGCCTATCCAGTTAACGTTAACATATTATAAGTTAAAGACTGTGTAATCAGTTTAGTATTATAAGATTTATTGTCGACTGACTATGTGCATTATTTTTGAATTAGCCAGATTCATTTTCGCATATGATGTTTGATAACGGCTCCTTGATTTCGACGTGCATTTTACTTTGTCAAATGCCAAAACGTTGCACAAACACAGTCAATCGAACGTGCTGTAGGCCTATGTAAAAGTTATAGTGCTACATGTATCGTTGTATAGAATTTATCGTTAAAACAAATATCTTAAAACATATTTTAACATTGATCATTTAAGATTTAAGCCTGCGTTACTGTCGACTGACTATGTCTGCGTAATTTATCAATATACAACTTGTCATCTCGACGTAAGTTAGGCCTACATTTTAATTTGCTTCAAAAATCTTTAGAATATGCCAAAACATTAAACAAACATACTTAATCGACCGTATATGAAAGTTATTTAGATGAAAAAGTTTATAGGATTCCATTAAGTTGAAAATGCTTTCTTTTTTTAATGCTGAGTTAAAAATTAAAACAACAACAACAAAAAAAACTAACTTTATGTCTTTGCTATTTCAGAGTCGTCATCCATTTGACACTATTACAACATTTCTGGCTCTGGTTTGCCACAATCACTCAATTACGGTATGTATAACATTTTTTGTTTTAAAATTAAACTTGACTTTTTTAATTTCTTACAACATTGTGATGTCTTGTTTTCTCTCTCTTTTTGAATTTCAGATATGTGAGTTTGGGGAATGTGGCAATGTAAAGTGTGTGGGACAGAATTATCCAGTAGGTATGAGTTATTGAAACATACTAAGCTTAAACATGGACATTTTGTGGGGAGGTTCAGGCATCCTTGTGTATACAGTAATTGTCCTTGCACTTTTAAATCATGGAATAACCTCTTAAGTCATGTATACCGTGCCCACCGTGATCAGTCATCTCCAAAACAACAGTTAGCCACCTTTTCATGTCAGCTGTGTGCGTGCATTGAGTCAAATGAAAGAGATTATTTCAGTCATGTAAATGAGCATTTGCGAAAACATGAAACTGTGACTTGTGTGTTTAAAGGATGTACATTTAAAAGTAACATTTATAGTACCTTTCATACACACAGAAATAGGAAGCATAATCCTCATGGTCTAACTGACTTTAAATTAGATGTTGTCACAATTACAACAGACTGTCAGGAGTCCACCAGTCCTCCCATTGATTTTCCCTCATGTTCAACAGAAACTTTGTCAGAATCATGCAATGATGATAATAATGATGAAGATATTTCCAAGGCAAGTGTGCTTAATATTGCCCTTGTTTTGTTAAAGTTGGAAAACATTTTGCATGTCCCAGCCACAGCAGTTGATGAATTACTTCAAGAACTACATTATTCATTAACCTCAGCATCAATTTCAGGCACTCGTGGCATAATTTCTGACATTCTTAGAAATCACAAAATAGAAATTGACGAGTCTGTCATTCAAGAGCTTACTGAAGCAGTGGGCAGTTCAAATCCCTTGGTTAAAGCCATAGAAAAAGGTGGTCCCCTTGCCACAGCTTTTAAGCGGAAGCAGTTCTACAAGGAGCATGTAAGTGTTGTAGAGCCAGTTGAGTTTATTCTTGATCATAAAACTAGAAAGACCTATCAGTATATACCTATTTTGCCTTCTCTACAGCTGCTGTTTAGTTGCAGTAATATTTTAAAGTGTGTTACGGATGACCACGAGAGACAGACAACTGATTCAGGAGTAGAGAAAGAACAGCAGTTTAGGTCCATAAGAGATGGTCTTTATTGCAAGAAAAACTCTTTTTTTTTGTGGAGAGGAATTGAAAATATCTTTATCATTGTACATTGACGATTTTGAGCTCTGTAACCCTCTTGGAACCTCACGTAAGAAACACAAACTTTGTGGGGTCTATTGGATTTTGAATAACTTGCCACCTGGATCAAATTCAACTCTTTCATCTATCTATTTGGCAGTTTTATGCAAGAGTGAACATGTAAAGTTGTATGGATATGACACAATTTTAGAGCCCCTTTTACAGGAATTGATTACTTTAGAGAATCATGGAGTTTATGTTCCAGAACTTGGACGGTTTGTAAAAAGGTACAGTCCAGTCTGTCATTGCAGATAATCTAGGTGCCCACGGTTTAGCTGGCTTCATAGAAAGCTTCTCTGGTGAGTACTTTTGCAGGTTTTGTGTAGGCAAGAGGTTGGAGATCCAGGCTGAATCTGTTCAGACAGGTGATTTTGCGCTTAGAACAAAGGAAATTCATGATGCCCATGTTACATCTGCAAAAGAAAACTCTGCCATAATTTGTGGGGTAAAAAGGGGGTGTGTGTTAACAGAGAAGTTATCTCACTTTCATGTAACTCAAGGCTACCCTCCTGATATTGTGCATGACCTATTTGAGGGCATTGTGCCAGTGGAACTTGCACTCTGTTTAAGAGAATTTGTTTCTAAGAAGTATCTATCTCTTGAGACTCTGAACACATTGATCTTGAACTTTCCATATAAGTGGGGTGATAGAACCAATAGACCTCACATTATTCCGTTTACATATGCCTCAAAGTGTAACATTGGAGGTAATGCACACGAAAATTGGAATTTACTGAGATTGCTTCCATTTATTATTGGAGACTTGATACCAGAGTCTGAGCCAGGCTGGCTTGTACTTCTTGATTTAAAAGAAATAGTTGAGCTTGCTGTCGCCCCCATTCATAACGAAGAAACGATAGCCTACTTAAACAGCAAAATTACAGAGCACAGACACAGATTTGTTGAACTTTTTCCATCACGACTGTTACCGAAACATCATTTTGTGGAACACTATCCACAAATGATTAAAAATTTTGGACCTCTTGTTGGGCAGTGGACTATGAGGTTTGAGGCGAAACATAGTTTCTTTAAGAAAGTTGCTCGCCACACAAACTGTTTCAGAAACATAATGCTCACACTGGCTGCCAAACACCAGCAAATGATTGCATATCAAATCCATTCCTGTAGGCTTAAGAAGTTCACACTAGAAGTTACACGTGTCTCCACACTTCCTGTGGATGTCTTAAACAAGGAAGTAGTTGCAGATTTGAGACACAAATATCCAGGAATTAGTGAGGTCCATCTTGCAAAAAATGTCACAAACAATGGGATCAATTATCGAACTGGTATGCTCATTTCATTTGGGTCTGCTGGAGGCCTGCCAGAGTTTGCCGAAATTCTTCAGATGTGTATCGTCAAAAACAGTTTGCATTTTGTTGTGAAGATACTGTGTGCATGGTATCAAGAACATTTTAGAGCTTTTCAGTTGACTGTCTCTCCTGATAGGGAGGTTTCCCTGGTTGATCTTGAACAGCTAACTGATGCTTATCCACTATATGATTATATGGTAGGAGGAAGACGAATGGTAACCCTGAAGAGGCACATCCTCATCTAAGGTAAAGTGTTTATGTAAAGTGTTTATGTAAACTTTACCTTATGTCTAAGGTAAAGTGTTTTTATTTAAAACAAGTAACAATGCTAAAAATTGTATTACTGATGACTGTTTTTTTCTGCTTTGTTTCCTCTTTTAGTAAAGTAGGGAAAAATGTCAAGTCCGGCCATTCTGAGGATTGTTTTTGGTGGGGATGACGATGCAAGGAAACTTGCACTTAAGACAGGAATCCCAAAGTCTCTGGATGACCTTGTCCTTGAAATTATGACTGTTTTTGGGGTGAAGCAAAAGTTCAGGCTCCAGTACAAAGGTAAGGACTTTGGGAATGAATACATGAATCTCATGTCAACCAGTCAAATTGAAAACAGGGATACCCTGAAACTGATTTTTCTATCAACTGATGAGTCCAGCATGCAAGAGACTGCACCTGATGCACCTGCCTGCTCCACCATTACTGTAACTTCACCCGGTTCAACATGTAGCTCTGATACTCCTGACATGAGAGATGTTAACGCATGTGCTATTGACTCAGTCCAGGAAGTCAATTTATCTGATGACTCGTTTTGCAGCACCTCTGACACTGTCATAGTGTCGTCTCCCGAGTCAAGAACCGGTTGTTGGCCTCAGGTTTTTATAGTTCCTCGATTTTCATGTTCTGCTGAAATTCAGCTTCAAAGAGCTGACACAGAGTTCAGCAACAGTGGAATGCTACTTATTCCACCACCAAAACTAAGATCGGACATTCTTGAAGGCATGGCTGAGGAGATCTTTAGGTATGCAGCATACCCCACTGATAGTCAGCTTGACCAGGCAGCTGAAGCCCTGATAAATGCACATCCTTGCTTGAGGGAAAAGGGAACTCGCACTGGCCATGAAGGATGGAAACATTATCTAAAGATTAAGATGTCTAATTTTCGCTCAAAACTCAGCAAGATTGGACACCCTGAAATCTCTGTGAATTCTCTTAGGAACAAGCGTAAAGGTCAGGGTAAAGCAGCATCCAACATCAAAAAGCCAAGAAAGGCTGAAGTAAATTTCCTTCCTTGTCTCCCAAAAGGAGAAACAGCAGAGAGCATGGAGAAGGAAAGAATTGCTCTCTTGACTGAAGTGAAAAAGAAAAATAATGAGGCAGTCATTAAGGAAAAAATGCAATTGACCTTCTCCTATAGACGACAAGAGTTGGTTGAAGACTTGGCAGTCGTGTCTGATTTACAAAGCAGGTGGCCTGCGCTGTTCACAGTAAATGAAGTAAGTTTTATTGATATTTACACAAGAATAAATTGTAAATTACCATAAATTCCTCCACAGTAGGCCTATATTTAATGGCTATCTTTATTTCCCTTTTCTATCTTTTTTTTTTTTTAAAGATAAATGCAGAATTCATGCGGATAACAACTGTACCACTTCTGTCAAAGTTCTTGGCGCAGCTTGACAGATACACTGTTAATCTACACAAGGTTTTCAGCAGCAAAGGTGGTGCTTCTGGACAGAAGATATCACGCATTATGGCAATTGCAGACAAGGTGTGGTAAACTGAATTTCATTTTTAATTTATTTTTATTTACATTTAACTAATTACAAATATTGTATATATATATATATATATATATATATATTAGGGATGCACCGATACCGGTATCTGGTATCGGCCTCGATACCACATTTTCTAAAGTACTCGTACTCGTTAAAAGTCCCCCGATACCGGGGACCGATACCATGTTCTGAGAAATGGGTTAATCACAGGCGCCGAGTGCCCACCCCCAGGCTCCGGCTGCAGCTCAGAGCGGGGAGATGGGGGGACATGTCAGCCGTGTGGAACAGTGATGCGCGGGTCAATGTATAAACAACCCGCACACTACCAACGTTTTCAACTACCCGCCCGCTACTCGGACCGCAAAAAAAGTAAGAAAATATTGTACCCGACCCTCTTCCTGACCGTATTTTTTAAAAGTAGTACATGCTCATCGTAGCGTCATTGGGCCATAAACGTGTAACAACACAGCATCGCAAGAAGACGTAGCCTACATATAACAAAGGCAGCACTTTGGTCATCATCTTTCATTATTTCGGTAAATGTCTCCCACACTTACTCTTTCTATTTGTGTATTTGCGGAGCTTCCACTTCCCAGTCTTCACCTTTTCTCTTGCCGCCTCCATCTCTCTGCAGACTAGTGATCATAGACATGGCCGGTTCGTGAACGAATCGGTTCTTTTTAATGAACCGGTCGAACCAAAGTGTTCGAAATAAAGAACTATCGAAATAAAGTGTTACCCAAGCAATTTAATCAAGGACCTAAAAACCCGTATATAAAAATATTTAAATTATGTTTTTTTTTGTTGTTTTATTAAGTACTCGGTATCGGTATCGGCGAGTACTAAAATGCAAGTACTCGTACTCGTACTCGTTTTCCAAAAAAGTGGTATCCGTGCATCCCTAATATATATACTATAATCAGTGTTTTTAATATTGTCATTTAATTGATAAATTTTATATTGTCATGTAATTTTCAGTGTGATGACATACACATCAAACGAGACTGTGTTATAAAAAGTCTGTGTGTATACCTCAATGAGGACATTACAACACTCGTCAAAGAATTTGAGGTTTGTATATGTACTTTTTGGTGTTAATTTTTTTTTTTTAAAGAAAATTTTTTGATTTTTTTTGCTTTTTGTTTTGGCTTAGGACTGCAATTCTGAAGAAGCAGAGAAAGTAATTTCTGAGACCACTCTGGGCCTTTTTGTGATCCGTAAAGAAGGTGCTGTTGCTGAGGAAGAGCCAGAGGATGTTGGAGTAGTGATAGAGGGTGTGCAGCTGTTGCAGCAGTTGAAGAGCGTTTCTTTTGGATTGGTAATGCTGTTTGGACTGATCTACGCTCTCAACTTAAGCTACCCTCAGAGTCTCAAATTCACGTTTGAATTCTTTCAAAAGGTACTGATGAATTTGGATGGCAGCAAGCTTTCCCCAAAGGTTCAGGCACTTAAAATTAAAATGTTTCAGTGAATAGAACATTCACTTCTTGTCTAGATGTTTCTAACATCTGAAGGGAGATTGAAAACTTTTTCAACATTCAAGACTGATGCACTGAAAGAAATTTTGCGATGGACTGATGACACTAACTCCAGCTTGCAAGAGACTGTACCTACTGCACCAATTTTGATTTTGAAGCTCTGATACTCTTGACACAAGAGATTTAAGCCCTTGTGCTATTGATTCCGTCCAGGAACTTATCTGATGACTTGTTTTGCAGCAGCGCAGAAACTGTTATAGTCAGAAACGTCTCTGGTTACGTATGTAACCTTAGTTCCCTGAAGGGAACGAGACGCTGCGTGTAAACGCCGTGGGAACGCCTCTGCGTGACGAGTCATGAAGCACGTATGAAATCTGTCCAATGGCGAGACGGAACGTCATAGGCGGGGTGACGTATCGACCAGGAAACTATAAAGCATCCCCGAAACACAAGCGCAACAGCTTCTGATAGGACTGAAGCAAGCGCTCACGGGCATGCTGGGAGTATGGCATAGACACGCAGCGTCTCGTTCCCTTCAGGGAACTAAGGTTACATACGTAACCAGAGACGTTCCCATTCAGGGAACTTCGAGCTGCGTGTAAACGCCGTGGGAACGCTAATACCAACGCCGCCATGCGAGCAGGTGTCCGTTGTATGAATATCAGGGTGCACATTCTGACGAAAGCATCTGAGCCCCAGGGGTGGAGCTGAAGTCCAGATGGTAAAACTTCACAAATGTGTGAGGTGAAGACCATCCTGCCGCCTCACAGATGTCACACAAGGGAACTCCTGATAAAAATGCCTTAGAGGCAGCCATACTCCGGGTTGAATGAGCCCGGACAGCCAAGGGAGAAGGCTGACCAGAGGACTCATAAGCAAGTGAAATGGCCTCGACCACCCACTTACTCATTCTCTGCTTAGACGCCGCAGAACCTCTATTAGGAGGCCCAAAGCAGACAAATAATTGTTCTGATTCCCTCCACAGGGCAGCTCTGTGGACATATGCGTCTAAGGCCCTCACCGGGCAGAGCAGATTTAGTTTCTCCTGGTCTGGTGTCCGAAACGGAGGAGGACAGAAGGCCTGTAGCACTATAGGTTTGACAACCGTAGTTGGAACCTTCGGAACATACCCCGGTCTAGGGAGGATGAAAGCCTTCGCCATACCGGGAGCAAATTCCAAGCACGAGGGGGAAACCGACAGCGCCTGAATATCTCCAATCCTCTTTAGGGAAGAGATGGCTAGGAGAAAGATGGTTTTGAGAGTAAGAAACTTCTCAGGCACCTCATCAATGGGCTCGAAAGGGGCTAAACAGAGCCCCTCCAACACAACCGCTAGATCCCAGGTCGGTACCCTCGTACGCACTACCGGCCTCAGCCTCAGGATACCACGAAGGAAACGGGTTACCAGGGGATGTCTCCAAGAGAAGCTCCACTCAAAGGGACATGGTAAGCGGATAGGGCCGCCACGTACACCTTTAGTGTGGAGTACGATAACCCTGTGGAGAAGCGTTCCTGAAGGAATTCCAGCACTGCCGGCAACGGGCAGTTAACTGGATCCAACTGTCGCTCTCCACACCAAGAGGTGAACAGTTTCCACCTCGAGGCATACAACTTCCTCGTGGATGGGGCTCTGGACTGGAGGATGGTCTCCACGACCTCAGTCGAGAGACCTGAATCTATGAGCTGGGCCCCCTCAGAGGCCAAGCCCACAACCTCCACAGTTCTGGACGGGGGTGGAGTAACCCCCCGTCCGCTTGAGACAGAAGGTCCCTCCTGACCGGAATCTCCAGAGGAGGACCCTCGAGAAGGGAAATCAGGTCCGCAAACCATACCCTGGTTGGCCAACGGGGGGCCACCAGAAGTACACTGGCCCCCTCCTGGCGAATCCTTTCCAGAACCCCTGGGAGCAGAGCAATCGGGGGAAAAGCGTACAGGGGTGCCCTCGGCCACTCCTGTACCAACGCATCCAGCCCCAATGGAGCTGGAGGACTCAGGGAAAACCACAGCGGGCAGTGTGAGTTCTCCCTGGACGCAAAAAGGTCCACTTCGGCCTGACCGAAGTGTCTCCAAAGGAGCTCCACCACCTCGGGGTGAAGTCTCCACTCCCCGGGCCTCGGCCCCTGCCTCGACAGGATGTCCGCTCCCCGATTTAAGTATCCTGGGATATAAATCGCTCTCAGCGACCGAAGTTTCCCCTGGGACCACAACAGGATCTGGCGCGCCAGCTTGTACAATGGACGTGAGCGCAGACCCCCCTGGTGGTTTATGTAAGAGACCACAGACATGTTGTCTGACCGGACAAGAACATGATGATCTCTGAGGTCTGGGAGAAAGTGTTTCAAAGCCTGAAACACCGCCATCATCTCTAGACAATTTATATGCCATCGGAGATGATGGTCTTGCCACAGCCCGCGGGCCGAGCGACCACTCATGATCGCTCCCCAGCCCGTGAGAGAGGCATCCGTCGTCACCGTTACCCGGCGACACGGGGCTCCCAGCGCAGGTCCCAGGGACAGGAACCAAGGTTCTTTCCACATAGCCAGGGCACGGAGACCACGTCGCGTGACCTTGATCTTGCGGAGCGGGTTTCCCCTCGGGGAGAACCCCTTGGTCCTGAGCCACCACTGTAGTGGTCTCATGTACAGCAGGCCGCACGGTAACACGTTGGATGCTGCTGCCATCAGACCCAGAATTCTCTGGAATTCCTTTACAGTGAGTGACTGGCCTAGCTTCACTTGCGTGACAGTCGAGATAATCGAGGCTATACGAGCCGGCGACAGACGTGCCTGCATCGTCGTCGAATCCCATACCACGCCTAGAAAAGTGGTCCGCTGAACTGGCGAAAGCACACTCTTCTTGGCGTTGAGTCTCAACCCCAACCTTCTGATGTGGGCGAGGACGGCATCTCGATGCCGAATCGCCTGATGCTCTGATTGAGCCAGAATCAACCAATCGTCGATATAATTTAAAATGCGAATGCCCTGGAGACGCAGCGGAGCCAAGGCCGCGTCCATGCATTTCGTGAAGGTTCGAGGAGATAACGCTAGGCCGAATGGAAGGACCCGATATTGGTACGCTTCGCCCCCAAAAGCGAACCTCAGGAACTTCCGATGTTGCGGAAGGATGGAGATATGGAAGTACGCGTCTTTTAGGTCTATTGTGACAAACCAGTCCTCGGACCTGATCTGTGACACGATCTGCTTGAGAGTCAGCATTTTGAACTTGAGCTTCCCTACTGACCGATTTAAGAGGCGCAGGTCTAAAATCGGACGCAGCCCCCATCCTTCTTCGGAACAATGAAGTACCGGCTGTAATACCCCAGCTCTCTGTCGGGAGGAAGAACTCGTTCTATCGCCCCCTTCATTAGCAGAGCTTTCACTTCTTGTTCCATAACCAGAGCCTGCTCGGGGGTCACCACTGTGGGCAAAACCCCCCGAAAACGAGGTGGACGCGACCTGAACTGGATCGCGTACCCGCGTTCGATAGTCTGCAGGACCCAACGAGATATATTTGGAAGACTTCCCCATTCTACCAGAAATTCTACTAAGGGTACCAGCCTCTCGAGACTGGCCTCTGGAGTAGTTTTTAAAACAGAAACAGCGCCCTGTGACCGCGCACAGGCAGGGTTCAACGACCGTTCTGTATCGCTCCTCGGAGCAAACGAGCGTCCCTCGGGAAATCGCTCGCTGGACCGTCTGCACCCCCCATTACAGGCAGGGTTGGCAGAACGAACCCCTGAGGGCACCGAGAGAGAGCGGGCGCCGGATTCAGCGGCGAACACCTCTGTCTCACGGTGGGGACCACCCTCAGTAGCCTGACACCAGTGGCGTCAGGACTTCTTCGACGAAGCCTTCCTGGCGACAATAACCGTCCTCAGATCGGTTCTATCCCGGGAAGACCTCCCCTGAGAACGCCGCGTCTCAGCCCAGTTTTGCTGGGGAGGAGCCCGAGACGCGACGCTCTTCTTCTGCTGCGCCCTATGCGAGGAACCCGACGGGCGGGGCTGCTCTCGCCCAGCAGCCCCCGAAGGATGAGTACGGACGGGGAGACATTTCTGGAGCGCCGCTGCCTGCTTTTTTCCCTCTTGGAATCTCTCAATCACTGAGTTCACAGAACCACCAAAAAGACCTTCGGTCGACAGCGGCGCATCCAGGAGAAAAGCTTTATCTTTCTCCTTCATATTAGCCAGATTTAGCCATAAATGCCTCTCCGTGGCCACCAGGGCTGCCATAGAGCGGCCGACTGATCTGGCCGTCTCCTTGGTGGCACGGAGAGAAATATCTGCCGCCTGACGCAGCTCATTAATCACGTCAGTGCTGACGACCTCTCCCTCGCTCATATCCTTCAGCAGATCTGCTTGATACGCCTGGAGGATGGCCATCGTATGCAAGCAAGATGCTGCCTGTCCCGCCGCTGAATAAGCTTTGCCCACCAAAACCGAAGTATTTCTGAGTGGCTTGGTGGGCAACGCCGGTGTTTTAAAAGACGATGCCGTCTCAGGAGAAAGATGGCTCGCCAAAACTTCCTCCATCCTCGGCATCGCCCCATAACCGTGTCCCTAGACCCAGCAATATTAGCGTACATAGAGGTCTGTTGTGTCAAAATTCTAGCTGACACTGGTTTGTTCCACGATCTACACACCTCGGTGTGTAGATCGGGAAAAAAGGGCAAACACCGGCGTGGAGGTAGTGAGTGTGATTTTAAAAATCTCTCATCCATTTTACTTTTTACTCTCGACTCTTGTTTTTCAACTGGCCATTCAATGGTTAATTTTTCCACAGCCCGAGTCAAAACCTCCATCAGCTCTACATTCGCGGGAGACTGGGATGGCGAGTCCCCGATCTCCACTGAGTCCATAGACTCTGCATCCACACTTTCAACATCCAGCTCCTCAGAACTGGATAATTGAAGTGATGGCGCCTCAGCCCGGGCAGGAGAAACCGCAACGCGGACCCCCGCAGCGAGAACTGAGGCACTGGATCTACCAGGTAAGGGCAGAGAAAGGGCGGGGCCCGTCTCAATCCCCGCTGATAGATCCATCTGCGAACCCCACGACGCAAGCCTTCGCTGTGCCTCGGCAGCAGCGGGACCCGAGCCGCGGGGAGCGCGCACCGAACCACTCTCCTCGAAGAGTGCCCGGCGGGAGCGAAGTGTCTTCATGGACAGACACTCGCAGTGCTCACAGCCGGCCCCCTCGAGAGCCGACTGAGCATGCTGCACTCCCAAACAA